CACCTCCTTGACACTTCATAGTCTAGCACACAGTCCAATGGGTGTCACTGCTTCTTTACTGGCATGTAATAACAGTCACATAGAGCAGCAAAACATAAATCTGTGAAAAACTGACTCTCCTTGATGGGTTTATATCCTCCTGAATACATGCACAATATGACATGTTTTTTTGGGTATTCCAAAAGTGTCAGATATAAATCATATCTGGTGGCTAACAGGAAAAAAAATCAAGGTTATCATTCTACTACTGGCCTTTTTGATGGTTCTACTACTGGTCATTTATGCTATTGCTTCTCTGCTGAAAGAATAATCCCACTGTTTCAGTATTGCCAAAGGAATTTTCATTGCAGGAAACACACAAAATAAGGTCAAATGCTTTATCATTGTAGTTTTCCAGCATCTGTGTCAGGTCAGATTTGGGTGTGTTTAGCTAAATCCCTTGCATCTAGGTTGTAAATTCTCTGCATAATCAGCAGCTTCTCCATGACTTCAATCCCAGAGCCAGATTTATTTATTTAACAGCCTACTGGGAAGCTTCATGTTTAGCTAAAACAAAAACTCCTCACACTCTCCACAAAAGGAAATTTGTGTGGCTTGGTAAACAATTACAGTCTTTTTGTTTTAGATGATTAATATTTTCTGCTACATGTCCAGTTCAGCTTCCATCCTGCAGGCTTGTTTCTGTGTCCTACTGACTCATTGTACGTTATGATAAACCAGCATTAACTCTTTATAAAACATTATCCAGATCATAGGGCCGTGATTCTCTTTCAGTGAAACATGGAATTTGGGTTATTGCTGATTATGCACTATATGTATCTTATCACTTTTAAAACAAACTTTTTATTTTTGGATAATCTAAGCACTATACCCACATGTACAAACACTCTTTCCTTAATCTGTGTATTATATAATTTTTTTTAACATTAGCTTTAATAAAAAATTTAAAATTGAATGCACGGTAGTGAAATGCTGTTGTCAATGTTGTTGTCTTTATTGTCTGAATAAAGGGAAGCAGAACTGTGCTGTGCCAAATGAGGGGGTCACCCTCAGCTGAAAGGACCTCCTTAAGCCAGGGGCTCGAATGCCAGCCCCCTGTGAAAATGGAGAGGGGTGGGGACAGGTGGCGCATCAAGGAGGTGTGGACTCTCCATAAGGGTCCCCCATCTGGTTTAACCAGTTCCTCTCCACTGTTCAAAGATAGAGCTAAATGGGCTCCATTAGGAGTCTTTTGTTATTTTAAGTGCTTAAAAGAGCTGACAATCACTTGTGGTGGGACAGCGTCCCGGCCCAGTCTCAGAGCTGAAAAATCACTAAGATCTGGGTGGAGCCTCAAGAGACTGACCTGCAGAGGTCACAACAGAGAAGCAGATGGCAGAAGGTGACCAGTGGGTGGAACAGCACTGGTGAGGTGGTGAGCAGTGTGGAATGAGCAGCTGGAGGGCAGCCACCAGAGAGGAAAGGCGGGTGGCAGGGAGGCCAGCCAGAGCAAGTGCTCAGATGGTGGAGCAAGCCAGGTGCCTTCTTCTCTGAATGGAAGGTGAACTCACACAGATGCACCTCTGAACCCTAGGTCCTCACTGACCCAGGACAAGCACTGTGAGTGGGGTGTGAGGAGAGAATAGAGAGGGGCACAGGAAGGGAACTTTTGGCTGTAGAACTCAAGAGCATGAGGCAGAAGACACATTCTGGGGTGGGTGTCCTGCTCACAGTTTTATGAGTATGAATCCTGCTTGTGGCATTGCCATAATTAATGTCAGGTGACTTCTCTCCTTTCATTCAAAGTTTTATTTTCTACACTCAGACTCAGTGCTTGCGAGTGGGGAAGTATTGCCTCTCAGAAGCACCCAGGGATGGTGTGTAATTTTCCCAGGTTACTGGGTGGGGGATCAAGCCAGTTCTGTGTTATACTGCTGAAAAGGAACCCCCCAGATATTGAACCCAGCCCTGGTTGCTACCGGCTCCACCTGGCAGAAGAGTTACATACATGCCTCTCCAACCACAGGCTCTAGGGAGATTTCTCAGGCCTGCAGGGCTGCCATCAGAGCCTCAGCACTTTTGGCAATACCACAGCTGTAGGTTCCACAGCTATGAAACTGCCAATGGAGAGAACAGTCCTATACTGGCAAGCCACAAAGAAGACAATTCTTGGGCCCTCTCATTATACAGATTCACTTAAAATAGAGGATAGACTCATAGATACTAAGGTCAGAAGGGACCATTATGATCATCTAGTCTGACCTCCTGCACAACGCAGGCCACAGAATTTCACCCACCCACTCCTGCGAAAAACCTCTCACCTATGTCTGAGCTATTGAAGTCCTCATATCGTGGTTTAAAGATTTCAAGGAGCAGAGAGTCCTCCAGCAAGTGACCCGTGCCCCATGCTGCAGAGGAAGGCGAAAAACATGGATAGATCTCGTTCTGTCCCCAGGTTCCCATACTGGCATCCACCACCACAGTATCTGTGTGAGATCTGGCACCCATTAAAGTCAATGGGTATTTTGCCATGGACTTCAGTAGGACCAGGATTTCTCCATCTAAGTACTTACCAAAATGGGTGAATGTGTGATGGTACTCTGAAAAGAAAACTTGTGCAACAAAGTAAAGCCACATTTGTAAAGTAATTCTGCATACTAACATATCTTTCTATAGCCCACAGTTTCAAGAGAACAATGAAAAATGCATTCCTGCATCTATGGAGAAAAGCCACTTTTTCAAGTTAACTATTTGCTAGTTGGTACCTAAAGGTGTCAGTCTACATTATGAACAAATATTCTTCTAAACTATTTTTCCCTAAAATCACATCATTTTTAAATTTCAGGAGGCAAAAAGTATCAAAAAGTGGGAAAATCTTTATAATTATTATTTTCATTCATTTATCTTCAAAATATTGAAGGAAAAACTTGTTTTTAAAAATAAGTTGCTTTCAGGCTGACAAATGCATGTGACTAACACATAGAAATATATAACAGCCAGGTTAGAGGCTTCTGAATATTTTATCTAATGACATATCGCTAGCACATTTCTAATTAAACCATCACCATGGTATCTAGGCCTCACATGCTTATTACCACAGGGCACGCAAACTTTAAATATACTGATACAAATGAATCACAGTAAGAATTGTTGTTACTGTGTCAATCTCCCTCTTCAAATAGTCTTCATCTGAAAACACATTATCTTTCTATGTTACCTACTTATATGGGCTAGTTATTGCAGGAGCTGGGCACAGAATTAAACAGTTCTTATTTTGTGAGTTTCAGACTAATCGATAACTTTTTATTAACAAATATTGTGATAAATATTTTACTATTTATTTTGTACTCATTGGTTATATAGTGCCATTCTCAAGCACCAGAGTGTCATAAAAATCCATAGGGGGCCACGTTAATTATCACCAGAAGGCAGCCACTCCTGGGATAGAGGACAGCAAATATTTAACAGTAGACAGCAATGCTACATAACAGTTTGGAGCAGAACGTGAAGAAGAATACCATTTCCAATAAAAATGTCATGGGAATGTAGGTAGACAGAATGGAATTACTTTTATTGGAATTTGGCTATGACATTGAGTCTAACACTTCTCCTTTGAAAAGTACATTCATAAATACCAGAAGTATAATTCCTCCGATTTTCTTTAATAGAAAAACCCTGTGTTTTAATTAAGGGTTGGCAAGTTAGCATCAACAAAGTAAGAACTGACATGAATGTTTTTCAATCTAAATGCAAGCCAATCCTACACCAGAGATTTTTTGAGATTCAGAAAAAGTTCGGTGAACAGTTAGTGTGTGAGGAAAACAATAAGAGAATCAGAAGAATTGAATGTTTTGTTTTCATGTTTGCATATCTTGCTGCTTTCACCCATGACCAAAACTAGAAGGTATCTGAGGTATTTGTGACCCAGGAAATACCAGAAAGCCTATTCTCTTGGGATTTTCACCCACATTTTGAGAACAATGGTTTGGATAAACTTTGAAAAAAATCAAACCACTGAACATTGTGAGGTTTGTCCCTTACCTTTTGTAACAGAGTGCATTAAAACTATTTTCATTGAATTATCATTGGCAATGTCCTGGAGCTCACTTCACTGAATCTCAGCATTACATTTCAGAATAGTCTTTAATCTCTGTGAGACCAGCTCTAATGCGCTGAGCCCCACCTACAATACACTGAACATTCTCAAACCCTCGGCTGTAATGGGAGTTGCAGGCACCCACACTCTTGCTATTAGTGAAGAGTAAACCATACATGTTTCAAAGGTTCAGTGTGGTTGAGATAAGCCCTCAAATGTCCAAAGACTGATCTGGAAATCTAGCAGGAAAAGGTTTTCTCTTGTGATTTTACATCCCTCTGACTTCAATGTATAAGTCTTTCCACATAAAATCATTAGCAAAGTCCTTAGCATTGAAGTGAAAAACCTGGCAAGAGCATCCTTTATCATGATACTCTGGTGGATTTTTTGCACATTTGAGCTTCTGGTCTTTTGTAGAAACCGGGAGCAACTTTTATCAACTTTTGCAAATCTCTAAAAGTTGGGTTTGAGTTCTAAACAAAGGTTTGGTGGAGGCTGGGTGTTTTGTTGTGAATGTATTTGTCCATCCCTGTGGCATAATAATAGGAATGGAGCATTTAGGTTCTACCACAAAGCAAATAATAAATACTTGTAGTAAATGTGGTGCCTCAAGAATACGTGTTCCTGTTATCAATGCTCTAACGGATAATTCTACTTCAGGCTTCTGGTTGTGAAATGAAATTGAACATCCCTATTCTATCCTAGATGAGCAGTTGATGTGCTGCCTCAAGACACAGCGCACACCTAAACCAGGGCATTATATAACATAGACTGAAATCAACTTGGGGCAGGGACCCTGTCTCTCTCACAGCATGTAACACATCGGGGCCTCAAACCCGATGGGGTCCTCTGAGTCCCACTGTAACAGCTACCCTGTGCAGAACACTCGGCATCATAACAAATCTATTACTGATAATGCACCTACCTTAAAAGCACAGGTAGCTGAACAAAGCACAGCAGTGGGGATTGGTAAGCCATTCTGAGACAGCACATTCATTTCCTTGATTAGAGCTATCTGGCAGATGGAGAGAATGGTGTTAGTTGGTTCTGTAAGGGGTTGTATCCAGCTCTTTTCGCCCCCAATAAGGCGGGGGGGGGGGGGGAGAAGTATTTAAGGTATGATCTGTGAGTGTTAGCAAGGAATAAGACTGGAGAGATGAACCTCAAATATATTATGTTAAATGTTGGGTTTTACTCCCGTAACAATGTCCCTTTAAATTCCATCTGAATGGAGTAATTTACAAGCACAACCCAGAGATTTAATGAAAGTAAGGATCTTTTTTATTCCAGGACATGTAAAGAAGCTTTACACATGCACACATATATACACACACACACACAACCCCTCTGAATATAATATTAAAGGAACTAAAGCTTTAATACAGTTGGATCAGCCAGGACCCCTGCTTTTATGTAAGGGAGGGAAAAGAACAAGAGTGAAAATAAAACCACTGGGTTCAACTCAGCCAAATCCTAAAAATAGACCTGCTTTCTTATGGAAAGAAATACAAAGTAAGAAAGTAAAAATACCCAGAAGATCTGAACTGTTTCTCAAAGTTGTCTGAATTTGGTGCCAAGCACACTGGGCAGCCTAGTATTTAAGAGGCCTCTCATGCCATTTTAGGATCTTTGCAGTTACTAGTGATTGAATACATCAGGCTGAGACGTAACTGTGGTATAAAACCTGATTGGTAATTGCAAGCTGTTCAGTCATTTTAACCTTTGCTTCATTGTTTACCTTTATGTGACTCAGTGTAGACTCCCACTGACTAACTTGTAAGGGGAAGATTCTGCCCTGTGTTCTTCAGGATGCTAAGCTGGAGCCCCCAGAATTTGACCTCAGCGTTTTCTGAGGGCTTTCAGGGTGCATATGATAGAGCAGTAGCTTTAGCACCTCTGTCTGTAGTTGCCCTCACCCACAACCAACCTTCATCTAAATGTGATTCCCCATCTGGATTCCCCAATGAGATCCTGGCCAGCTCTGCAGAGAGGTACAAGGTGGAAGGCAATTCCTCAGGCTTTGCAGGGGTTGGACTTACACTTGTAAAAAGTTTATTTTCCTATAATCTTTTGAGCCACTAGATAAAAAGCTCTCTCTCGCTGAAGTATGCACAGATTAGAGAGAGAGAGAGAGTTTGCATGTGAGTAAAAGGATTTTTTTTATTTCTAGGTCCAAAAACAATTTGGAGTGCTTCTTTTTATTGAAATGTCTTTCTCCCAGGGACACCAATTTATTATGGACAGATTCCAGTGTCCACAACTCTGACCCAAGCTTTTCCCCTCTTATGACAATCCATTCAGCAGCCACAAGATGCCTTTATATGTAATATATTTTTTCCCCTCACATCAACAGGGCTGGAGTCTCTGGTCAAACAACGTCATGAGTGAAGATTTTGTACATGCAAAACATGTCTGTCATATTGAAAGTAACAGAATGTTTCAAAGAATAAACAGGAAACCTGCTGAGACAAAACCCCCATAAGATAGCAAATAAAGTACAATCCATCCTTCACAAAGACTCTCTAGCTTGAGATCTACCGTTCTACCCCTGTTCACACTACAATACCTATTCTTGTTTTGATACCTGTCATAATTTCAGTTTCTCATCATCCCATTGAGACAGAATGGATTTGCATTTTCATAACTAATCCTCATAGGAACTATGTTAATGGGATAGTGGAAAGATAAAAATTGTATGTTTTTAAGTGTGTTATTATTAACCATTTAGATTTTTAAGATTAAAGGGTTTGAGAAATCTAACTTGCTCTTCCCTATCTATGCTGTTTGTTTACCTTTTGAGCAGCTTCATTGTCCAGACTGAGTGAAACACAAGCAGAAAATGAAGGAGCAGAAATGGAAAAAAAAATTAGATTTTCGCCCCCACCACAACGTTGTGGACTCATGAAAGAACTAGGCAGAAACATGGCCCCCTTACTAATTATTATATAATATTATTTTACATGGGGCACCTTTTTTACCCCAACCTATTCACACATTGTGCCAGTAAAATGCAGCCCCCTCTGGTGTGGAGTGTGGCAACCAACCAGAGCACGGCACTCTGCACAGTAGTAGAGGGTAGGGAAGTTTTGGCTATGGCCCCTATTCTTACAAAAACAGGGTTAAATGTTTAATGTCCATATAGAGACAGGACTTAGGTTTTTAATGAATCATCTGAGAGAGCCTGACACATAAAATTGCCTGGAACTCCACATAGTAACCTCAGAGGGATGAAGAGCTGAATCCACCTGACTAAACATTAAATTTGGGATTCAGAGGAGTCTAGCTATTTAAACCCTGCACATTAGATTATGTAGTAGGTATAAAATATGTATTAAATTACTCACAAGAGCTAGATTAATTGCTCATCTCTAACAGTTTGATAGGCAACTCTCTGCTCCATTGTGAATGGGGCCCAGAATCTCAGGTGGTGTAAATGGGCACAACTCCAGTGAAGTTGGAGCTATAGCAGTTTACATGTGATCTGAGGATCTGGCCCAGAGTTTTGTTTCCCAAACTAGTTCTTTTGTCCAGTCCTGAAGAATGAGCCATCTGATTACAATCCATGCGGTTGTGGTCTGTGTAGAGCAAGGTGAATGGTGGGAGAGGGGGGCAAGGGAAATTTGTGAGGTGGCAAAGCAAGTAGCTTTTTTAACGTAAAATGAGTCTTTCAGTTGCCAGGGTGGTGAGCTTCTAGCTGGACTGATAAATGCCAAAGGAGGGAAAGAAAAGTAGTAACATGATAAAACTCTGAAGGATCCTTTCATTACCAAACATAGGGTGCTTTCACTTCTGCTGCTTTTTATTTAGTGCTTTTGAAGGGCCACTTTCACTCTTCCTTCTTGCACCTCATTCTATTGAAAAAGAGAGCACTTAAATTAAAGGGCTAGATCTCGCCCAATTATGGAAAAAATCCACAGGAGTGGGCCAGGTGAGAAAAGTAAATGCCACAAGGTTTCCATCATGGAGTTGGGAAGTACCCTCCTTCCCAAGCCAAGTACTTCCTGTAAGAACATTAATTACTCTGCTGTCCATCCTCTCATGACCAGCTACCATTGGCTGGATCCCTGTACAACAGTAGTGGGCAGCCTGCAGCCCACGGGCCACATGTGGCCCATCAGGGTAATCCACTGGTGGACTGCCAGACAGTTTGTTTAAATTTCCACGGCCGCCCACAGCTTCCAGTGACCGTAGTTCGCCATTCCTGGCCAAGGGGAGCTGTGGGAAGCGGTGCGGGCTGCAGGGATGTGCTGGCCGCTGCTTCCCGCAGCTCCCATTGGCTGGGAACAGCGAATCTTGGCCACTGGAAGCTGCGTCGGACGTAAAAATGTAAACAAACTGTCTGGTGGCCTGCCAGCGGATTACCCTGATGGGCCACAGGTTGCCCACCACTGTACTAGAGACAGACAACATTTTAAAAAAATTCCACCAAAAAATGGCCTTTTATTTAAAAATAATCACAAAAAAACTTGTGGGTTTTTTTTTTAAATATTCACATTATTAACATTTTGTATCAGAATGATTGGAAACATTATTGAAACCATGGTTTTGATAACATTATAGACTAAAATGTCAATTAAAAACACATTAAAGAAAGTGAGGCCATTTCTAACATTATACAATGGAAAGAATTTTGAAATCATTTGCAACTTTTTTTCCAACCAGCCCTAGGTATTCGCTGTTCATAGTGTATATTTATCAAGTATATTTATTCAAAATGGCCTCAGTAATTAAGGCTTTTTCCCTCAGTGGTCAGCCCCTTTAAATTTAACCATTTGTAGAAGTATTTTTAAAGCCTTCTTATGACTTGCCCAACTGAAGAATGCCGTGGAGCTGTGCCAGGCATGGTTCTGATGCTGAGCCCAGGAGACTGAGTAAAGGAGTATTTTTAATTATAGAACTACCCCATCCACTTGTGACTATTAAAGTGCAGTTGACCCCACCAGCTGCCTAATCCTTCCTTTTAATTTCTCCATGGTCTGTGAAACATCCCCACTTCCAAGTCTCTCTGCTGGAGAAAGGCTCTTGCAGTGTCTATCTTTCTAGCTGCCTGAAAAACCCTTTTGCTGGCAATAAGATTGTACAGAAATCCTTTCATATATTACAGTATGTAGGCTTACTCATGACCTTGCAACAGTATGCTCCTACACTGGGTCAATTTCACTGACAAAGATTAAACTGCTACCTATGGTGTCCCGTGGCTGGATTTTCCGGCAGCCTTGTAGCTTCAAACAGAAGCTGGTATAAGTATTTGGTGTCCTGTAGCACTGTTCTTATGCAAGGACTCTCTTTTTCACAGACTCTGGACCATGGCAAGGAAAACATCTGCTTTTTATTTGAGCTGCTGTGAGAGTACTGTGTGCAGAGAAAATAGTGAGGCCCAAATGAGCTGAAAACCACTGCAATTCAAGCATGCTGTCTTCTGATCTGGTTACTATGACACAACAGGTCCCTCACTGATAGCCTCTGGATATAAAGGGGGTTTTGAAGCTATTTCCCTTTCTGCTGGATTAATTTGTACTAACACCTTAAAACTCACCCCAAATAACAATAGGGAAATTACAGTCTTTATGAACAACCTAGTACAACATGCAGTATATGTCCTCTGCATGGGAAGATAGCCCTATCTTGAATGGCGTAAAACTTATTTCTTTCTACACATCTGTGACTTAAAAAAAACCCCAACAGATAGTTATATTTATAGATTCCTTGGCCAATTCAATATGCCAGGGTTGAATTCCTTTGTGAAGTTCTTTGTCTGTGGCTCTTTCCTCTGCCAGTCATCTCATTCTGTTTCCAAAGCTTGGTCTGTCTGGTTAGTCTAGTCTGTTCTTACTAAGAACTCAACCATATCACAACCAGAGACTCACACAGTAGGCCACACAAAGAGACAGACACAAAGAGACTCCATCCCCCCTTGGTTCTTTCAAGCTTCTTTTGCTACACCCCTCCTGCCTTCAAGACCACTCTAACTGCTCCAGTGCTACAGAACCTTTCTTGTTTCTAGGCTGGGACCTT